GCCTATATCCAAAAAACATCGACTCTTTTTAAACCGCATACAGGCTATGAGAAAATAAATATGAGCCAATTACTTTTTTTATACGGTACAGACAAGAATTTAAAACTACTTTCATCCCTGCTCTTATTTCCAGTTATCTAATTGCTCATCCACTGTGTCTCATTCAACCATCCTTTCAATTTAATTCCTTAATTTTACCCTCCAATTAATTCGACTTGCTTCTCTGCCCCTAGTTTTTTCTGTAATCTTTCCATTTCATCTCATTGCTTCCCATTTTATCATTTCAGTTTTCAAGCTTCCCTTCCTTTAACCTCCTTTCCTTACCGTTTTTTTCTTGTCCTTCAGGTTAGACTATATTTTTTCTCTTTACATTAACAGGGATGTAGATTGAACCTTCTGAGATTAAACACGAGCAACTCTGCTAACTCTATAGAACTATCATTGCCCTATCATCTTCTTGCTTTGCAGACATTTAAAGCAATCAAGACTCCTCCTCTTGCATTAAAGGACACATGCTTTTAATGGAAGAAGACCCCCAACATCATTAAACACCACTCAGATGGGGGGCCTCATCTGTCAGATTATTAAGATGTCTTTTGCCTAGTTGCTGGGTGCCTCTAATGATACAACCGTTTCAAGCTTTGTAGACAAGCATAGACGCATTATTAGTATCCCATTAGAATAAATTAGCATGATCAGCCCAGTAGGAGCAGCCCAGTCTGGGTCCGACTACATAAAACGCCACAGGGCGACGCTTACAGCATCCCATCAAGATAGGAAGTGGAGAGTGGAGGCTCTCACTAATCAATGTCTCATTATGTGTTACAGCAGTGGTGATGCCTTATTTCTGTAGTCAAAGACTGAAAACATAGGCCTTGATCTGAACGCGGTTTATCTAGGCCAATGGCAGCCAGGGCAAATGATTAACTCCTATGACTCATGTGTTCAAGGCTCGCACAGTTAGTTATGTTTCTCTTAAAAGCTGTAAAAGCACAATAAGTCAACGGCGCGCTGCATTTACAGGCTGACTTATGGCCGCTTCTAAAAGGAGCCCCCACTTTTGTCACTGAATCTCTAATGGATGAAAATTGCTGGCTGAATTATGAACAGTCGGTCCATCTGGGCTGACAAGCCGTTATCCCCAAAATTCCTTTATTGATTATCGCCCACTGAGCTTATACAGACGACCACAGATCAATCCACTCCCTGATCCAATTCTGGCCAGCAGAGGAGAAGTCGATGCACGATGACTCGTTAGGACTACAAACACACTCTCATACAGACACACACATCTTGATGCAACCCCTGAGTCCTGAATGTGGATAAAAAGCCCCAGGAACCCACCCAGACCAGCGATATTTTACTTAAATCATCCTTTGGCAAACGACTGCAGTCTGCTACTCCAAAATGACTCATCACACTAGGAATGCTTAAAGATGAGCTGTTAGAGGAGATCTAACAGATAAGGGTGAAGGAGGCCATAGTACTGCAGGTTAGGAATGCAGCCATAACAGATTTATTCCAACCAAATAACAAATTCAGATATTTTAGTGCTTGCTCCAGTCAAATATTAAATCAAATCTTAGTCCAAATGAAGCATTTTGATGATCATCCTAAAATGTGTTAGTTGTTAAGAAAGTTACTTATCTTGAATAAGTCTGCTCAACATAAAGCCGGGCGTACACTGTGCGATATTTTCAATCGTTGCACGCAGCTACAGCTCAAACTGTACGACAAAACCGCAGGGTTAAAAAGTAGTTTTGCACCGATACCAATACCAGTATGGGACGGGGCCCCGATACTGCCCTAAAATGGTGGTATCGGTATCGGCAAGTACCAACAAATAGGGCACAGATACCATTCTGAGAGCCATAAGTTTATTCAACTATTGTCACCCATTCCAGGTAGGCAATAAAAAGTTCTACTGGATTCACTTTGTATTAGATTTTTTCCTGCTTCACAAAGGTAGGCAGCAGCTTGACAAAGCCATGATGGCAATTATTTTACATTATTATGGTATCAGTATCAGCCGATACTGCACAGCCAGGTATTGGGTATCGGTATCGGGGCCAAAAAATGGCATCGGCGCAACACTAGTAAAAAGTTTACAGCTCACGATGTTTGTTCTCGTACTGTGCGGCCCGACGCTCTGATGCGATCTACCTGCTCACATTGCACGTCTAAAAACTACATGGGACTCATCTCCACAGTGAGATGGCGCTAATCGGACTACTCTATCTGGAAGCCAAAACAGTAGAAGAGGAATATGAAAGTCACTAGAGTAAAATGGCTGCATTGGCAATTTGTGCAATTTTGTGCTGAAAGCCCTAAAAAGAAAAGGCGACGACATATTTGGACAAAGACATGGCTGAGTAAACGGGGCTACTACGGTCTGTCAGTTTTACAGAAAGAACTCCATTTCACTCGCACCCCCGCCATGCTTCTGTGTTTATATTTGAGAGGAAGAAGAAGAAGAATCCTTGTTTGCCCACTAAGCGATTTGGCCAAAACGGCCAACAGAATTTAGAACGTTTGATTTTCTCCCGACCTCACGATTCCTGATCGGGAGGTGGTCATGAGAGGCTAATGGGCCCTTGTTACCCCCTGTGTACTACATGATGCAGGATGCATGGTGAGGCTGAAATTCATGCGAACGTAGATGCGAAAGTTGTGTGAAAACAAAAGCATTTCTGCAAGACTAGATGAATCGGCCCGAAAAAGGGTTACGTGTACACTAAATGACACACGATCAAGCTGAAAGTCGGTCGAAAAATTCTCGCACGACTGGAAAATCAACCCAAAAAGGGCAAAAAAATTGTACAGTGAAAGGAAGGCTTAACATGGGATCAAACTCCTTCGAGTATACGCCTGTTTTAAATTGTGATTTTCTGAGCAGCAGAGCCCTGTCTATAGTAGTCTGAATGCTGAGCTGACCGAGGGTATTTCTCCCCACACCACTGACAGAGCTCGGCCTCAACACTGAGTCCGTCTAAGGTCATGCTGTTGTTAGGCAGTTTATCCAGCCACTGTGCTGCTGCTGCTTCTTCTTCCTATATTACTGCCACCTACTGGGCTGGAGTATTTGAAGTCACACTCATAATCACTTTAAGTGGGAAAAAGACCCCAGTATCTGGTCCTTCAGTATAGGAGCACAGTCCCAACAGTGCACTGAGATACTGGTATAGGGCTTGCTTCTGAACTGGCATCGGTCCATGATAGTCATTTTCTTTTTATGTATTGGTGGGTTGGCGTCTTTTGGCAAAATATCCTCCAAAAATAAAATGTATGAATATACTTCGTCTTAAGGATGTCTCTGTATCAAAGCGCTGCCTTTTCCCTGTTGGCATTTGACCTTTAACCTTCGAAGAAACTAAATGGTGATTTAGCTTTTTTAATAAGTCTGGATTACATTAATTTACCTTTCTTCAATTCCCTCTTGAAGATATTCTTATAGACTTACTCTGTTAAATGGAAAGATATTCCTTTTAATATAATACTAACCATACAGATGAACCACACTTTCTTAAAATACAACCTGAAATTATCATCCAGGCCAAGGATCCACCATATTTGCACCATATATTTGTCTTTACAAGCTCTGAACTTCCATATCAGTGTGTTTTGCACCATGTTTTTTTCTCCAACGTCGTTTACATTTTGATCACTGCTGCCCTTTATGAAATGGGAATGTTCATTTCACTGCTAAGCTGCTGCTCATTCACGGACTGAAAGCTGTACAAAACATTTCATTTTGTAAACAAAATCACAATAAAAGTTGTCTAGGTCTAAAAAAGATAAGGCTGTTTTAACTAGAGTCAGAATTGAATGGGTCCAGAAGCTAACTGATCAGCTAGCCTGACTAATTATGTAGATTAAATCAGATCGTTATATCTTCAGATATTCCCAGTGTTACTTCCTCATGGAGAAGAGGGGAAAATGAACTCTCTCTCTCTCATAAAATTAGCAGAAGCTACTTAAATCTACTTTAGAGAAATAAAAAATGAATTGTTTTAATTTAATGTGAACCTCATACCAGCCATTGCCCACACTCTCATAGTGCTTTAACACTGAATGAGATCTGGGATTCAAAAACGCTTAGACGCAAAAATTTGGACGTTGGGTCAAGTTGCCTTGAAGCTTCAACGCTCTGGTTGCTTATCTGCTGTTCTATAGCTACAAGCTAGATCAGTTGGAAAAATAGTTTTAACAAATCGAACATTCAAACAATTGAATATATTTCTTCGGCAGGTTTTAACATTTCAGTTAAATTTGGGTTTTTATAAACAGTTTCGCCATAGTTCATAAGTTTCAGTGGAGTAAATGATCAGAACTCGCTCTCTTTTCTCTTTTTGTACATAATCCATTCTCCAGATTTCTTCCACTTTATATTTATTTATTGTTTCATATGCAGACAGCTCTGCAGTAGCGATCACAGCTTGAATGTAGTGTCTGTCTACTAAAAAAAAAACTCCTGGATCAACTTTTCTGATTGGTTGACGCTCTGTCTCAAGCTGCAAAGTTCAGATTTCTGAACTGTACCATCGACCGCTGGGAAGCTCCAATACTGTGACGTTAGGATGCTCCGACGCTCGGACTGCCAGACACTTGAATGCACCGTTTCAATAGTGCACCTTGATGCTGCTTGATGCCCTCTACAATAGACTTTGCATCTAAATCAAATGCTTTGAGAACGCGTTTGTTGTGAACGCACCTTCACACTGACCATCCATCTCCTCCAGAAGTTATACACTGCAGATAAGACACTAACTACTTTACCCACTCGATAAAACTCCAAATTAAAATTTAACCATAACTTTAAACTCATTTGAAATAAACTTGTCAAACTGGATGACTTTGGTAGAGTTTTAGTTTATTTAGAAGCAGCTAACGTCATCAACACACCCACACAGCCTTTATTGGTTCTCACAGTACAGAAATACTTTAGAGAAACCTGAACATTGTGGATCACCTTCAGAACAATTAACTGCACTGCAGCCTCTCTCCGACTCCAAGCAACTTACAACTAAATCACATCAATAGAAGGAACAGGGATACATTACACTCCTCAGTTTTATATGAGTTTAACTCAGTGAAGTGAAGTTAACCCTCCAAAGATTGCTGAACTCTCAAAGCACTAACCGAACTTTGAAACCCAGAAACAGAACCAGAGCAGACAATTATCCCCCACATCACCACTGCAGTCGGCAGAAATAGATTTCATCACAGCAGTAAAGCTCATCTGGGGCCTAAAATTGAAGTTGTAGGCAGTGGATAGTTTAAGAGCTGTAAAGGAAGGAGACTTGAAAGTGGCTGAGTTGAGTTGTAGAGATGTGACCAGGATAAAAATGAGCCAATTTAAAAGAAAAAAGAAAAAAAAGCAACAAAAGATGGGAGAATATAATGCATCAAGAAGGTTTGATATGTCAGTCTACTGAACAGATCAGCCATTTACCTATGGTGTACCCTCTTTTCAGTTCGACACACCGAGGAGAGCGCAGCTGGGAGTTGGTGGTGTTGTTTTCCTTTACCGCCAGGCCGGTGGTCGCCTTGGCAACAGGTGGTGCAGCTCTGTTGCGGGGTGAGGCTGGCACCAGAGTTGGAGAGAAACCTTGACTGGCGATATCCACCGACTGAGACTTCTGCTTGAGCCTGGAGAGGAGGGACAGGAAGCACAGAAACAGGGACAATTACAGACATGATCAAAAGGGAGAAAAAAAACTACAGGGAGGAGCCGCTGTTAGAGCGAGGACGGGACAGGTGACCTTCACAGCTCAAGGGCGAGGAGAATGATCTCATCGGATCTGAGGCATCAGCATCTGGGATGTTGGTGTCCATGTGTTGCGTTACAGTAACGTAATCGTGCAAGGACATGCTCTAAGCGGCAAAATTTCAATAGGTTAATCACATCCTTGTTGAGGGTGAATTCGTTAGCATCACTTGCCCCCCCCCCAGCATATAGCTGTCAGAAGGATTAAACAGTAGGGAAGAGGAAGACAGCAGCAGGAGTCAATGGGGAAGACTTTGCTAATAGTTGGCACCTGTTTTGTCTCAGTTTCCAGCAGAGGTACAAGTTTATCTTTCTAAACAACCAAAACTGCACTATTGACGTCATTTAAAAGAAAAATAAGTTGCCACATATTTAATTTGGGAATTAAATGCTTGAACCAATACAAGATGCAATCCGTTCTGCATTTTTCCATTTATGAGTACCACATAATGTCTGTCAGTCACATCAATAATAAAACTAACATTAGCAACTAAAATAAAACTCTGGAAACATTAAAGGCAACTAAACTGTCATCTAAGCAGGACCTCCTGAGCCCCGCCTGTGCTGCTGTCAAATTTGCCTAGAGACGGACACCGCACTCTGCTCTCAGTAAACAGTTACCTGCTTTAAAATACAGAAAAAGAGACAAATCCCAGGCTGAGAACTCAGGAAAAGGACAAATAAAATAATAAGATAATGTCTGTGAGGTTTTTACAGTGGCTCCTTGCAAGGTTTTCTAATATAAGACCCTAAGAATCAGCAAAGAAACACGACAAACCAAAATATCTAATCATCTGCTCTTCATACCAACAAAACCTCTTTACACCAATATCATGTGAAATATTTGGATTGTTTTGTGCTTAAATTTCTTTTAATACCCAGTGGTATTAATAATATAAAAACAAAATAACAGCATTTAAAAAAAAACTAATTATGTTAATAGATTAAGCAGGAGTCTGCTGATTGTATTGTTGCTCTTAGATCAGTAGCTTCACAGCAGTTAAGTGCAGACAATACATAATATTAAGCATATTTTATGAAGTACTTTCTTGCACATTTTGCACAAACGGTTGACCTTTCGGTGCTAGTGCTACTGCCATGTGGTTAACCATACACTATCACATTAACCAGGTCAATTGTGCAACTAGGTTCTATGAATATGGAACGTTTTCAGCGTTTAGTAAATAGGGTCACAGTGCAATTATAGATTTTACACCCTACTCAGTTTGCATGCTGGAGTAGTTTGCAATAAATAAATCATTGCTAATTAAGGGCATTTAAGCTTTACGTATAACTAATTGTCCTCTATCATTGTCACCATGGACATCATCATTTTTATTTTCCCTACCCAGGAGCCTTGGCAAGTCACTATTTGAGGTTGCATGAAAAACAAGCCTAAATAAAAAAATCTAAGTAGGAAATGTTTAGAGGGATGCAACTAAACACAAGAGTTTAAAGGTGATTTCACTCTAAAGTAGGACAAAAACAGTAATGCAAAAGCAGATCAGCTAATTAACCACAAT